CAAATAATAATAAAACTTTAATTCTTTAAACATATTTTTCATCATAACATATTTTCAAACGTATTACAGTTAGAAATCTACATAATGTTATAGTTTAAATAACTACCTAGTGGTCTACCGGGAATGTTGAGTGTTTGAGTTTTGAAGTTTCAATTAAAAATTTGTGAGGATTATGAATGTTTGAGTGTCAGTGTCAATTGATGATTTATTATCCTTATTAAAATTCCACTAATTACATGAATATTGTGGTTTTCATGTTTTGGAGCACTTTTTTTAATACATCAAGGAAATCATGGTTTTATTTAGTTTGTAAAAATCTTCTAGTTACATGAATATTATGGCTTTCATGTTTTGGGACACTTTTTATAATGCATATAGGAAATCATGGTTTTATTTAGTTTTCATTATCGATTCCCTAGTTTTTGATTTTGTACACAACACTAGGGTACATGTTTAAGTATATTGCAACCAAAAAAACCATAACATAATGCTTATTTACATTCTATTACTTATAAAGTTTCAAATATGAATATTCAAGATTCTACAAAACAATATAAGTTCTCTACTACATACAAGATTCACAACTTTCAACTTCTTCATCCTCACTAAAATCCAATATGTTTAGACGATGATCACCATGACCTCTTTTTGGCATTGCATCATTATTTCTTGAACTAAAATTGTGTTGCTTACCCATATTGCATATAAAACACTCTTAATTTTATTTATGCAATAAGAAATGTCCCAATGTCTTGATAAAAATTTATTCATTGAATGCAACAACTTCAAACCTTGTTTGCTTCATGGGTTTCCTCAAGAAAGGAGAATCATCCCATAAATATATATATATATATATATATATATATATATATATATATATATATATATATATATATGGCTTCCTTATGCCATATTTGTGTACTCTACAATCCAACTTCAACATAGTCCAAATCGAAATATTATATATGTAATGAAAATATATTAGATTAATGTAAACTTAACACAATGATCATTACAATCATAACATTCCTTTTATGAATAATGCTTCTGGGTTTCCTAAGTTGAAGTGGTTCATTAGGTATGAGGTAATTTTAGGTGCTGTTTGTTTTTTTGAAACCAAAATGTCTGCAGTCAGCGGACCACATCTGCAAGCCTCTGCGGCAGAAAATGTGGACCAAATGTCTACAGTCTCCAATAAGAAGATTGTTTGTTTTTAACGTCTGCAGCTGTTGAAATAAATTGATTTTTCAAACTTAATTTCATGTCATAAACATTAAAAATGCATTTTCAGCAAAAAAAGAAAGAAAAAAAAAACAGCACGATGGCCCATGTTTTTTTTTTCGGTTTAGGTTAAAATGAGGTCTGAAGACCTTTGAAGACAGTGTCCCATGTCTGCGCCAGGAAGACCTCGCGCAGACGTTTTTTGATCTGCGCACTTCCAAAAAACAAACACTTTGCGAGGGCATATGTCTGCGCGTTGTCTGTGCGACGCAGACAAAAGTGGTTGCACAGATCTTCACAAAAAAAACAAACAGCCCCTTAGTTGTGACTACCATGTAAACATTTTGTTTGAAATGTGTTAATTCGCATAATTGTCTCGATTGCTTTTAGAAAACCCTTGCAACTATATAAACATCAAAGAAATTATTTAGACATTAAACGAAATATTTCTGGTTACCAATATATAAATGAATAATTAAATTATATGCAACTATAAGTACAAAATTTTACAGAGGAACCATAATTTGGCATTGAAAATCAATGAAGGAAGATGATCCTACTTGAGCTAGAATGTTTACCAATAGTTGCTTTAGAAGAGAACATATGATAGTCATTCATAATCATAAATTTCTTTCCTTGTAGATCTTTTGGCTCAACGCATACCAATGGAAGCAATTGGGGGGGGGGGGGGGGGGGGGGGGGGGTTATGGTGAAGAAGAAGGATGAGTTTTCTTGAGGAAGGAGATTAATTGTAGTTTAGGAAATGGTTGGTCTTAATTTTTGTCATAATTACACTACAAATGATAGCAACACGAAAGAAGAAGAGAAGGGGTGGAAAAACTAAAAAGCTGTTGAGTACTGAGCACACAATGGCTTTTAAACGGACCCTTGCACCTTGTAGACGGTAACGGCTACAGGGGCCTATGATCGATTTGGAAACCATATGGACGGTTCGCATCAATTTCCGAAAACATAGACAAAAAACATAGATAGATCAATGCATACCTCAGGGACCATTTCTGTAATTTATTAGTTTTCATATTATGTACTTTTGCAAGTATAATTCCATGGGGGTTTGCTGGTTTAGTCAAAGAAACCTCAAGGAGATTCCAACTTCCACGTGAGAGGTTACAACAGGCCTAACATTTGAATGCTGTTCCGTCACACAACCAGTAGCAGACCAAAACCGACCTTCGATTCCTCACCCCTCTATCCAATTCAATGGCTGCGATCATCTTTCCAGCCTTAATTGAGTAATTTCCCTCTCTCTGCTATTTCTTACATCCTTATCCTTTCAGGTTTCTGCCCTAACCTTTATCTTAAACCTTCGCTTCTTTACCAAAGATCAATTTTTTCGCATACCCACGTTATAATTCTTCTCATATGTTCATGGTCGCTTCAAATCATGAATCTTGTCGAACCCTTTTCTGAGGTTTTAAGAACATCCACAGCTCTTGTGGAGATGTTGATCTTTCTGTGTCCTGTTTCTCTTGCTTTCTTTATCGGGATTATAGTTGGATGGGTGTGGAAACCCAGATGGATTAGCTCCGGCGATTGCAAATTCAATTGGCCGGCAGTCGAGAATCAAATAGTTGGGTCAAACTCAAACCAGAATCCTCAGCAACAATTGGTACAAGCTGGAACGAACGATGGTTTTAGGTCTAGTGGCGTGGATAGAGAGATAGATAAAGAATCCTTCAAGTTGCCATCGACGGATAACCCGAGTTGCAGGTATGTTTATCTTAAATTCTGATTCTTGTTTGATGCCATTCAATTATGCGAAGAGTAAACTTGTGTTTTATCTCACTTGTAGTTCATTGATTATCAATAAAGAAGACAACCATCTTCTTTCTGATGAAGACTTAAAGCGTCTATGGTATCTTGTGGAGAAGAGAGACGGAGGTCCACCATGGAAGCATATGATGGACCGATCAACCCCCACTATGACATGCCAAGCATGGCAAAGAGATCTCGAGGTACCTTCTTCTTTCTTATTTTCTGCTAACTCTCAACAAGAAGCTAGCTTATTTAGTCCAAATTCGCAGACTGGTCCTCCTCAATATTGCAGCAGAACTGTTTACGAAGACGCAACACCCGAACTTTTGAGGGATTTCTTCTGGGATGACGATTTACGTTTGAAGTGGGATGACATGCTTCTGCACTCCGCCACCCTGGAAGAATTTCCGGCGACCGGATCGAGTGTTGTACATTGGATACGCAGGGTGAGTCAAGTTTTCTTCATCTTTCTCGTGACTTCTGTATACCATTTGCATTCATGCTCTTACTCTCACATCTCTACACAGTTCCCCTTCTTTTGCAGCGATAGGGAATACACAATCGGCCGTAGAATCTGGGAACTTGATGGATCTTTTTACTGCGTCACAAAGGTACAAAAAAGTTGTGTCAGACAAGATTCTCATTCCCTTTTGTGATTTTTTGGTGTCCCACATTGCTTAGCTATGATCCCATTTTACTAAAAGGGACTCTTTATTAATCCAACTAACATTTCTTGTTCAAGGGGGTGCCATGTCCTTTAGTTCCAAGAAAGAACAAACCACGTCGCGTTGATGTTTATTACTCAAGTTGGTTCATTCGATCCGTCAACTCAAAGAAAGGAAACAACAACAACAACAACAACAACCAACCTGCAAGTGAAGTAATATTCTTCCATCATGAAGACATGGGAATTCCATGGGAGATTGCAAAGTTTGGAGTAAGGCAAGGGATGTGGGGAACAGCTAGAAAAATCGAGCAAGGTTTCCGTTGGTACCAAAAGGAAAGAGCTTCTTCAAAGACAAAATCACATCATGTAACCATGGCTGAAATGAGTACCAAAATCGATCAAAATTACTTGAGTTGTTTAGAATGTTGTGAGGAAGATGAAGGTGTTACAGAGACTGTAATGGCAGATGAGAAAGAGAAAGAAGGGGGAATGAATTTGCCAAAGATTTTGGTTATTTGTGGGGTGGTTGTTCTTGCTTGTAGTCTTGATCGTGGGCTTTTGACAAAGGGTGTTGTGGTTGGGGTTGCAAGGAGGTTTGGGAATTTAGGAAGAAGGGTGTTTCCGGCGACACGATTGTGATGGATTTGGTGGTGTAATAAGTTGTTATAATTTGGTAGATTCTTGATAACAAATGAGGGTATACAATGTATAGAGTAGTGTGTAATCAAAGTGTTCATGATATGTAACATAGTTACCAATATGTGGATTTTTTTTGGAACCTATAACGAAAGTTTTAAGTAAAAAATAAGAAAAATCATGTGTGAAGTTCGTCAATTGTTGAATGTTTAGTTATTTGTACAAATATCATATAACTTTCTACTCAATCCAACAAGGAAAGAAATTCACCATGGAAATAAAGTAATTGAATTGAAGTTTTACCCATAAAATGTTATATGTCCTCTTAAAACCTTCTTTTCCTTTTAGTTTTGAAAATAAAATGTTAAAAGTTAAAACATGAAATTATTTATTATGTGAATCATTTTGGTTTTGTTGGTTGCAATTGTTGTTTTATCACGCTCATACCAAAAGTTGTCAATCCAATTCTGGTAAAAGATTTTTGACCGTAACCTTGATTGGTATTCAATACAAGGCCCATAAGGTTTGAATAATTAGAATTATGTTCGTTATAAAGTAATATAAAGAAGAAATAAAATTGTTTTTTTATTTTTTCTCACAAAACATGAGATTTGAATGATTTGGGCCCATAAGGGTTTGTCGAGCTCCAAAATGTATCTCTTTTTGCGAAGCCCAGTAGAATCTGTAGTTCTGTACCCTAAATCTCAACCTACTTAACGCATGCTTTCTTTCTTCCTTCAACGCTTATTCATTCTCTCGATCAGAAAATTCGCGGCGGCAGGAGCATCAGATTTTCGTAGCCATGTCGGTCAGCGAGCTTGCTTGTACCTATGCCTGCTGTATTCTTTACGACGACAATATCGCAATCACTGTAAATTCACTTCCTGAATGCTTATTTCTCCTTTGATTTCATCTCTCTGATTTCCCCTTTTTCTTTTCACGTTGATTGTAGTCCGAGAAGATTGCTACCCTAGTAAAGGCAGCAAATGTGAACATTGAATCTTACTGGCCAGGTCTCTTCACCAAGATGTGTGAGAAGAAGAACCTCGACGACCTCATCATGAACATCGGTGCCGGAGGAGGTGCTGGTGCTGTTGCCGTTGCTGCTCCATCCGGTGGCGGTGCTGCTCCAGCAGCCGCGGCTCCTGCAGCTGAAGAGAAGAAGGTATGTGATTTCTCTATGTTTTCGCTGCTTTACTTTATTCGATTGATATAAGTTTGTTTAATAAATTTGTTCTGGTTTGATTTGTTTTCAGGAAGAAGCAAAGGAAGAGAGTGATGATGATATGGGATTCAGCTTGTTTGACTAGGTATTCTGTTTTAGTATGTAATGGTTCTTTCACAAACTCCGGGATTCTTATCAATAGTCGTTTTCTCTATTTCATTTTTCCAGTGTTTGAGATTTTGTACTTGGGTTTAAATTTAACAAAGTTTTGCTTTAAATCTTTACGTGCACAACATAAACTCAATTGCCATTATTGTTTGCAAGAATATTAGATCAGTTGCTCTCTCTATCTATGTCCATGATTAAACTTGTTGCCCTGTTGGTTTGTGTGGGAATTGACATGACTCTTGTGTATGTACATGAATTAATGGCTGTTTCTAGATATCGGTGTGTTTATAAACTTCTGTAGTTTCTAATGGTTGAGAAAGCACTTATTTAAAGACATATTTGGTTGAACACTACTCTGAGATAAACTGAAATCTTACCAGTTACAACAATTTGGTGTGGATCAGTTTTTAAGAGTCGAGTCATTTCAAGATATACATATCTTTGAATATTAGTAAGCTTGAGTTGTATTTAAATCTACAAACTGTTCATTTTTTTGTAAGGGCATGAAGAGTTTTGGTGCATTTTAAGGGTTGAGTTTATTTGAGTGTTTTGTTGCGACAGACATTTGTTTGATGTCCCCTTGGTAAAGCTTTGCTTGTCTTTGCTCTTGATGACCATGTTGTCAATGTTGTCTTTGCTCTTGATGACCATGTTGTCAATGTAGCCCCTTCAATTCCTTCTACGATTTGATCCTTAAATACTTTGTCCACTGATTGTTGGTATGTTCCCATGCAATCTTAAGGCGAAAGTATTTTGGGATTCATCAACTATTTTTACCATGTAAGGGTTTGCGATCCATCCTTGGAATGTTGTTTCTTGCAGTATTTTTGCCTTCATTAGGCTGTTGACTTTGCATTGAATGATATGTTTTGTTTTCTAGCATGACGTATCTTTCTTCTGTCCGACTGATCGTTCCCATGCAAAGACATCTTGATACTTGGTACTTGCAATTTTGTATGACCATGATATCAGCGCATTACGTCTCTGTCAGGCTGTAAATTATTGTAGTTATCTCATTTGGTGACCAGAATTTTAGTAAAGATGTAACATCCATATTTTCAAAACACTAAATTATTGTGGTTGCACATTTACCATGATATTTAGTTTAACAAAAACCTCTTCAAAATATAAGAGTTACACATTTTGGTGTTACAAAATCAATATCTACAACCACAGTAAAAGAGATAGAGATAAAGAGATAGAGATGGGATTATACAACATTCTTTAAGTCAGTCAAAGTCTATCTAGGAGTGCACTTTTAACTTCAATTTCCATACACAAGTACACAGCTCAAACTATGCAAGTCCGAGAACTCATGAGTACATGAGTTTTAACCCAACAAATAATTCAAATCATAATTTACAATACAAAATTTCCACAGACCCATTGGTAAACAGTAAGTGTATATCTTCCTGCACATAATTTTTATAATGCTCATAACACTTCAAACACAAATAAACTTTTACCATACACAGCAAGGAATCTATTAAAGGACATGACATTGTGTCCCATTGTCAAAACTTGTCACTACTTACTGTGTCTTACTATTGAAATGTGTCATTATTATATATATATATATATATATATATATATATATATATATATATATATATATATATATATATATATATAATATTAAAGTTGTAGAAGAAATGAATAGTGAAGTTGGCATACTTTGTCCAGGTTTGGTCCCTTGATTTACATATCCGGTCTCTGTACTTCTTTAATTAATTTATTCATGTCCTTTTGTTTGTGTTCCATTCAACTTCTCATTTTTTTGGCAGAATTGGTCCCTGTATTATTGTTGGAAGTTAGGAATACAAAATGTGGATGTTTTTTGGCAACTTTGCTCATTATTCTTTACCCATTTTGACACTTTTGGTCCTTGCAATCAATATTTTTACACTTTTTTGGAACCTTTTAATATTTAAAGTTTGGCCACAAAACTTTAACGGTTTGACAACTTTGATCCCTTTTCTATAAAGTTGCTAATTCCTACCCCTTTAATTCTTTAGCCATTTTCACACTTCTGGTCCTTGCAGTCAAAACTTTTACATTTTTTTGTCCGGGGCAAAGCCCGGACTTTTCATCCTTGCACTTTCTATGTCTGTCATATTTATCAATTCGGAAACAACATTGAAAGTTTCTGGCCCCGCATAGCGGGGGTAACCTTTCTAGTTTTATATTGTTAGTGTGTCTCATTACTAAGGTGCTTTTTGTTTTTTCTAAAAACCACTTATTACTGCGTCGCGCAGCACTTGGTCATTCGTAGCTGTTTGTTTTTCAGAAGAATTCTAACTTAAAAATTGTTGTGCGTGTGTTGCGTGGCGCAGCACTAGACCATCTGCTTCAAACCTCTTCACACATTACTTTAACTTATTGCAGCAGTCTGCAGACGTTAAAAAACAAACAGACTTTTTATTACATGTTGCAGCCGTTTGGTTCGCCTCTTCTGCTACAGAGGGTTGCAGAGATGGTCCACAGACTTCAGACATTTTCGCTTCGAAAAAACAAACAGCACCTAAGACATGTTGCTATATTGTCACTATGCCCCATTCTTTAGACCTATCATTGTACACTATCACTATGTCCCATTTATGAGACATGTTACTACATCTCATTATTGAGACCTGTAATTATATTGTGTCTCATTACTGCGGCATGTCACTATACTCCGTCGACATGGACCTAAACTATGTCCCATTACTAAGACATGGACCTAAACTATGTCCCATTACTAAACTATATTGTGTCTCATTACCGAGACTTGTTATTGTATTATGTCTCATTATTGAGACATGTTGCTATACTATGTCTCATTACTGAGACATGTTATTATATTGTGTCTCATTTCTAAGACATGTTACTATATTGTGTCTCCCTATTGAAACCCGTCACTGAGTTCTTGTGGGAGCCTTAACTGTGTCCCTCTCGTGGCAACCTATCATTGTGTCCCTCTCATGGGAACCTATCGTTATGTTCCTCACATTGGAACCTATGATTTTGCTCCTCTCATGAGAACTTATGATTGTGTTCCTCTCATGGGAACCTATAACATGAAGACCATTAATTCATCCATAACATATAATCATAATAGTGGAAGCTAACCAAGAATAATCCAATCTCAGTCAATACTTATATGGTATGCTAAACTTTCTTATTGAACTGTTAGCAATGCCCATTTTCTAACAAAAGCATAATCACATAAAAATTCAGATTTCAAGTACTTGACATCAAGCATTTTCACATTTACGTAAAATATTTACTTTGCTATGTACCCAGGAAATTCACATGTACTCACCTGGCTAAATCAGTGAAAACTAAATCTCATTTTGGCCTCTAGTTTTCACTTGTTGCCTTTGCCTTCTTTCTGAAACCTATTCAATCATATATCAAGTTCCTTGGAACTTGTCAAGAGTTCAATTACCATCTATAAATGCAGTGAGTCTTTACCTGATCACTAACTAAACTTGGTAACCTTTTGTCACCAAACTAATCAAGCTCCACTAATATGTTATCTATACCATCTAATTAACTCAATTACCTTTCAACAATTTACCAATTAGGGTTTATCCTCCCCATTATAAACAATTTCACCAAAGCTTGATTTCAAGCTCGATTTGAAAGTTTAAGCATGAAATTATACACCAATCATATTTTCGAGCTTAAACATCGAGATTACTACTTAATTAAACATAATATTGTTATGGAGTTTACGAGGTTTCATCCCAATACCCGCACATAATTTGAAGGTTTAAACGAATTAAACGCTTACTCTTTTACACACAGGATGAAGAAATTGAGGTTTGAGCCCTCTTTTAGACCTTTCCTTGTCAAACCCCCTTCAAAACCCCAATTTTTAACCATATTCCGTTCCCACTTCTTCTAGGATGTTTGGGTATATAAATGGGATGAAATTAGTCGACTTAAGGCTTTTTTTTTTGCAAAGTCAGTGGAGACACGTCGTGTCCCCATCTCAGACGCATCAAATCTTCCCAACAATTTTTGTCTCAACTTCGGACGATCATAACGTTTTTCATACGAACTTGGATTTTCGCAAACCTTATGTCCACGCGACCATCTCGGAGTGAACTACAACTTGTGTTCAATAGTATTTTGCCTAAAGTTATACATTTTCTATTATAAAGCAATAAGTAGAAAGATATACGTATTACATTACCAAAAATGTTAACATTTCATTTCACTACTTGGGTTCATCCTTACATGTATTTACACCACATACATATCGTAACACATAGTTTGGATTTCCGGGTCGTTACATAAGTCATTAATGTTGAGGCTACGACCCTACACTTTAGCATTCATGGTAGTCCCATTACAATGTTGTTTGGGGATGGAGCATGTATGCTAGTAGAGGTCTCTAAAACACACCATTTTAGAGGTTGGTTGTAGTTAAATCATCATTCTAGTGTTAAACAATCATTACTTTTGTATTATATGGTTGGAGAAGCTTTGAGGGCCATAGGCTCTTTTCAGCGAAGCCTATTAGCGAAAATTTTGGGTTTTTTTAAGTTTTGTTTCAATGAGTTTAGATTGTTGTTTGATGCATTGTTTAAACATTGTGCCTAATGTGCTTACCCCATGATAACTTTGGTTGGTGTAGCACTCTTATGACCTTCATGATGGATGAGAGTTTTCCTTTCTTTTATTATCTTCGGGCTCAATCTTATTAGGACCACCGATGTATATGAGATTTCCTCAACGTCCCTCAGATAGTGCGAATGATGCAACCAAGTAAAGTATTGCATGATTAGACAAAGAGTGGATCTTGTGAACTATGTGATTCTTCGTACACCTACGACTACAATAGGAACCTAGGGCCGCAAGACCACAAGATAGGCCCAAAGTTACACTCTGGCGCCCAAGTTACATGATGTTTGCTCAAGCCTCAAAGGAGTGTGGCATGATGAGATAATGTTTACTGATATCTCACATGAGAAGGTGATATTTATAATATTGGTATGGGAGACAAGATTTGTCCATTTTCTATGGTAAAGTGGTGATACATATGTTTTGTAGGTAATTTTTCCTTTTTTCTTTTTGTATTTTATAACTAAATAAAATTAATACCGATTTGATTAGAGTAGAAAATTGGTTAATTTTTTCTAGGTAATTGTCTAAAAAAAAACGAATGTCGCAGGACATGATTAACCAATAACCAAGGCCAGGTTTTGTGAGCCTCTATACAGAAACATGACCAACAGCCTGACAGATTTGAAGAGGTGGTTTAAGCATCTAATCGTCTTATCATCCAAATCCAAAAACAACTTCCTAAAAACATTTCATCCCCATAACAACTCTTAATAACTCCCCTTCTAAATTCCAGCAACACCCAGAATGGAATTGTGATTTGACTCATGGACTCTGGCCCTGAAAAACAATACAACACAAATAAAATCAATGCAATTAGAAAATAAAACACAGAGCCATCACCATATGATCGGAATAAGTGTTATACCGGAGCCGGTGATTCCGACTTTGACCTAGATCTTGACCTTGTCCTTGACCTTGCTGGCTCATCTGGAGATGCTGACCTAGATTTTGAAGGGTGATCTTGATACAGATCGCTCCAAAGATTTGCTGTAGAAAGATAAAACATTTTTACAAAAAAAAAAATGATATTGTATAAAAATGAGAAAAAAGAATTTGTTGATACCTTCTGCTTCTACTGCGGCTCCTACTTGGACTTCTGGAAGGGCTATTTTCGTACTTCCTTACCCTAATATAAGTCTTTGCCCATGGATTTCTGAACTCAGTGTCATCAAGCTTTCTTATCTGAGTAACAAAAGACACACATCACATGCTGAATAAATTAAGTCAATACACACCAAGGGGTTGTTTCTTTTTGACTTAATATGGACAAAATCACTTATCACCAACACTTTATCTGTTTGTCTTTCTTTTTTCCTTCCAACTTCTTGATGAATATTGTGAAATTTGTTTTTTGGAATGTAAGGGTAAAACGGTCCTTTGTCTCATTCAGACGGTTTATTCAGTCTTGAAAGAAAAACAGATCTCATGTATAAGAGCACTTACAGCATATTTCATGTCGTCATAGTTGGTATAGTCAACAAGACCAAATGTCCCTACAAATAAAACCTTGTTGTCAGAACTAGAATAAGATATCCATGGTAACTAAAGTAGTGTTTGGAACGATGGAATCAGACAAGGAATGGAATGGTTCATTCCATCGGAAACAGAATGGAAAATCCATACAGGAATGTGATTCTTTTCGTTTTGCTACCTTAACCATGAGATATTTTTTTGTATATTCCATTCAATTATACAATGAAGTATTGCAATATAACTATGAAAACTCATTCCATCCCTACATGCCAACTAAACATGAGTATGGAATGTAATGACTCATTCCATTACCTTGCAACCGATTCCATTCCATCCAACAAACAAACAAACAAATTTGTTATCCTACATTTCATACCCTTGCTATCACGTGAAACCTCAGCAAAACATACATCACCAGCCTTGCGCATATGATCCTGAATTTTTATTCCCATTGTCAAGAAAAGTCAACATAAATGAGACCTTAAGGTCAATGCATTAGATATAGTTGTTAGTTGTTACCTTAAGATCTTGCCAAGATGCAGATGATGGTAGCTGTCGAACAATAACTGCACTCAACAAATATAAAATTTTAAGCAAATCATAACTGGTCAAACACAGAGCATATAAATAAATCACAAGTTGGAAATTTTATCCACTTATGTCATAATTTATATTTTATATTTAATTCATATCTCAGGTGGCACCTCGATACTCAGAATGTCGAGAAAGACCAGAACGCCCATTGCTATTGCTGCTGCCACGACGATCACCAGAGGATGATTGTCCTCGACCCCCATGAGCAAGCTCAACCTGCATGCAAAGGGTATTTTCGTCATATCACATGACTTGGTGATAAAAAAAAAGAGTATTCAAAGTCAAAGTTTCTCGTTACCCTCAGGCGACAACCATCAAAATTATAGCCATCACGTCCTCTAATTGCATCTTCAGCATCACGAGCATTTGCAAACTACAATTTTAACATAATTCAGAAATGAATTAAATTTAAAACTATTGTAGTATTTCATTAGTGATAATGTGTCATAAAATGGGTCGGATGTGAACAAACTACAATGGTGTTTTGTGAAAAAATAAATAGTTTGTTACCCATTTATGACATTAACCTATTTCATTATATGGAATATAAATTTCAATACATTACCTCAACAAAACAATAACAAGGAGGACGAGGTGGAATCTTTAATTCTATGTCCAATATACGCCCATACTGCATGAAGCCGAAACTTACATAAGAAAAAAAAAATCAAACATATTTGAATTCGTATTATAATATTCAACATCTGTGAAATTTCAATTTTAATTCAGGTTTCTAGAACTATAAACAAATGTGACCTTATAAAAAAGATCTTCAACTTCCCATTCTCTTATATCCAGAGGCAGGTTCCCAACATAAATTGTGCGTGAGAATCGGCCACTCATCTTCAGTTGCAAATGGACATCTAAGTAAATCAGCCAAAATACTGCAAAATAAAATAAAATCAGAACTCATAAATAAAATCAATCAAGTGATATCTCTAGAGTCTAAAGTCTAAACCCTAAACCATTCGCGATATGTTGTTATTTAACTTTTTTTAGTTATGGTTTGATTATTATACTACATTTTGGATCAATGTTCTATATCTTCTCAATCAAACTTAGAGGTTACTGATTTTTCTAGCAAGATTATATATCTCAAAAATTTAGTGTATCTTTAACTGTTAATCTTTTCAAGATGTCTTTTTTTTTTTTTTAAGTTATGCTTTGATTATTAACATTTTGGATCATGATAAGCCCCAACTAATCTTAGAGTGCTTTTACTTGATTTGCTTTATTAGAGTCATTCCGTTATCTATTTAGCCTTAGGGGTAGTATGGTCTTTTTGGTATTATGGTTATTATTGGCTGTTTGGTTTTGTGGGAGCACTAACCTTGTCCCGGGTCTGTTTTTGGGACCACTTCCCTGAGTTTTGTTGAGTATTTATCCCCCTGTAGGTTTTTGTTTTGATTAGCTAAGAATTGATTTGTAAAGAACTTTGTTTTTCTTTTGGAGAGTCCATTCCTCTCGAATGATGAATGGGAATTCTATCTTAATTTTTTGGTATTATTGAGTGTTTTGCTGCTGTGAATCTGTTAGAATGCCTGGGGTTTACGATAGATTCAACAAGGATCTATCAAACCCTAATATGTTGAGATATGTTTAAACCCTAATATGTTGAGATATGTTGTTTACATGGTTTTTGAAGTTACACTTTGATTATAAAATTTTGTATCATCGTGGTTGTATATATTCTTAAATGCACTCGTACTTTACTAATTTTTCTAATATTTTGGATCCTTGTGGTTGCATCATAAACAAAAAGATCTGAGTCATGAGATGATGTAAAATTTTCATATATTAATGCATTTATCCAAGCAAAGACCACCCGAAACCAGATATACTTTAAGATACCTCGTTGATGTGATTTTTCAGGTGAATATAGACTCATGTTAACTTCACTTAATTTGAAAAAGAACCAATATTATTTTCAACTCTTAAGGATCATATCCAGAGAGAGAAGGAAGCGGGAAGATAGTGTGAAGTTAGACATGGAATTGACACTCTTTGAGGGCATTATCTGAGGGAGTGGAGACATAAAATTAGGGTTGTGGAGTAATAGAAGTCGTGTTACTTACATTATGTTTATGTGTATTTAAGTATATATCCTCTTATTAATTTCAGTTATTACTATTAGTACTATTACTAAGAGGTAGAGGCAATAGTATCTTCATACAACCTCCCTCTTAGGCTCTTACCCCACGACCTTACAGGAACTTGGTATATTTGTTGTTGTTTTAACTCCTTATATGCAGCAAAGTGCAAATAATTATGTATTTGTTTCAAGATAAACAGCCAGTTTGTCCCTCTCTTATGATCTCCTTTTGGTTCCTTATTCAGTTATTCTTGAAGCTGCAAGAAGAAACAACTTTAATGCTTCTCAAATTAAATGTAGTTTCTTCATCTCTAACTCAGTTCTAAAACAGCATGGGTAAGAATTCTACCAGTTGGCTATAGGGTAGAAATATACACTTGGAAGCACCTTAAATTCATATAATCGACTAAACACACAGTGCATCTCTCTAATGGCATGTATATCAAGATGTTCGCGATATCTTAGGGGGCAAAGAATCAGGATAACAGTGTGTCAGTGTCAATTCTTAGATTGAAATGTGACTAAGGAAACTCAAACCCCTGCAGATGGACCCAAGATTCTTTCTAAACCTATGCGTTATACATTTCCAGAAATCGATAACTGAAATACCATACAAATATCTTTAGGGGACTCTTGACTCAACCGAAGTTGATGACTCGCAAAGTATAAGTGGATGACGAGTCAATTAGCTATAACATGGCCACAGAATTACACAATCACTGTCACAATGGATTTAATCCATGTAGAATGAAGATCCGTTAAGATATAATGAAAAGAAAAATCTTCTTACTTTAAGTATGGGCGGAAAACCACTCCACCTAGGGTTTCTGATTCCCTTTATTTCGCTGTAACGTAGAAACATACAAAGGATGCTGTGATTCAAACCGTATACATAATCTTACACGAATTAAAAGTGATTCATCCAACATTATTGAAGAATATGATATACTATTCGTAGAAGTATGAATCAAATACCTGATCAATCGAGCGGCAATGGAAAATAAACTTCGCGACGTCCGTTTCCCGAATTTATTCTTTTGACTTACTCTGATTGTTTGTGAAGTTGAACTTACGAAATAAACACGCAGTTCTTCTACTCTTTGGGCCTGTTGGGCTTACGCTTATCGGGCGTACTAACATCAGTAACATGTCCGTAAACTATTTTATTTTAAGAACTAGTGAAAACCCGTGGAACCACGGATGTTAATGTTAAATAAAATTTTAAATTTAATTATGTAATAAATAATATATCATTAAATTAGAAGACTAATATTGTATTTTTTATAAGGATTTTATTTGTAGGTATGTAGTTACAGAAAAATTGTTAAGTATTTAACTACAAATGGAGATTTTTAAAACCTTTATTTTTTATTTTTTTTCCTTATTTTTTAATTTAATTAGTAATTTGGATTGGTTGTTATATTAGTAAAAAATATGAATAAAAATAAGATAAAAAATTTATGTTTGCATAATCTCACTCTAAGTTGCTTAGTGTAATCTTCATGTAATGCCTTAGTGTGTTAGGATCGGATGCTTCAAGGGGACGAAATGAGACAATTTGTCCAATAACATCTACACAAGTTTAATAAAATAGAAGTAGATATTATTTAGTTAAATACTAACATAGTAACATGGATAATAAAATACACAAATTATAAAACTGAATGGAATAAAATTTAACAACTACCCAAAGAATGACTCTCTTGGGCAAGTTTGTTCGATGATAGAATTAAATTCAACAAACACAAAACCATTAACTGGACCTGAAAAATCCTCACATCTTTTTATAATAGTTTTCCAATCCAAAGTAATGGTTTGTCTCTGACCGGTAACACTAAAACCATTTTTCACAGCAGCCATACTGGGTTTTAAAATGATGTAACTTTGATCTTCCTTTAACAGATGACCAAATCTGGAAAAATTTTGGTTAAATACACGAGACTGGTATTTTGTTCCCTGTTCACCAAAATAAAAAAAATTATATTGATTGAAACATATGTAATATTTAGTAGTTTTAAAAAAATATAACAAACCTCTTCGTCCATGACGATCATTTCAATGGATAAAACGATATTATTCCTTATGAAATTCCACATCTTTAAAACCCGTAGTTTGAGATGTGAATCATCAGCCAAACTTTCAATGTCTTTTAGGTATACTTTATTACCTATATTCATTTCCTACAAAGAATTGATAGCATAAGAAATAAAAAAAATAAGAAAATAGCAACATATTATAAAAGTAAAACAGAAACTATTTAAACCATATACACACAATAAAAAATTAAATCAATTATGTTGAACATAGCAATAGGAAATTTGCAAATTTAATTAATAGCATAAGAAATAAGAAATAAGAAGATAGCAATATATTATAATATCAAAGAAGAAACTGATTAAACTGTTTTAACCATATTATAATTACACATCTTTACAATTATGTTGTTTATCAATAGTGTTTTTTATCTACATACACTAACATTTTGATATCCATATTATAACTGCATTTGAAACTTTATTGATATATGCTTTTATATACATACGATAACAGATACATACACAAAGAAATCAATAAAAAGAGCAATGAAGATGAATGAAACAGATACATTAAAAAAAATGAGACAGCTTAGTGAACTGAATAGGTAGATACAGTAACAGTTACATACAAAGCTTTATATTACGATTATGAAGCCTTCAAATTGATAAAAAAAAAAACAGATACTCAATTATAATATCAAAGAAGAAACTAATTAAACTGTTTTAACCATATTATAATTACACATCTTTACAATTCTGTTGTTTATCAATAGTGTTTTTTATCTACATACACTAACATTTTGATATCCATATTATAACTGCATTTGAAACTTTATTGATATATGATTTTATCATGTTAAATCATGTTTATCATTTGTTTAAATTATCATTTGTTTATCCTGTTTAATTTAAAAACACTAACCTGATATGTGAATTCTGAAATCTTGCAGGAAGAGTTATATATGGAATATTCACAGATGCAATTGAAAGTCACAAAACATGATTAAGGGATTTTAAAAACATGGAGTACATGTTTTGAGGTAATATTTATATACACAGATACCTTTTGGTTAGTTTTGTCTTTTAATGTTTTCATAATCCTTTCAAAACGAATGCATCTTTCTTTGAACTCAGAAACATGCGAACAAATAACAGTAGAGTGTACTGATTAAAAAAAATAAAAAAGTTTCAGACACAAACATGTACATATATACATACGGTAACAGATACATACACAAAGAAATCAATAAAAAGAGCAGTGAAGATGAATGAAACAGATACATTAAAAAAATGAGACAGCTTAGTGAACTGAATAGGTAGATACAGTACCAGTTACATACAAAGCTTGGTATTACGATTATGAAGCCTTCAAATTGATAAAAAAAAACAGATACATACACAAAGAAATTGATAAAAACAACGGTAGAAGGAATCATGAGATGAATGAAATAGTTACCTTAAAGAAAAACAGAAGACGAATTGAGATGGTTTCCTGCAATTGATATCTCTTTTGCTCTGGAAATTGGAATCGCTGTGAATGAAGAAACCGTGATATTGTATTTAAAAAACAAAGATTAGGTAAGTTACGGTATTTAAGGAATTGATAAGCATTTACCTTTTGACAGATTCAATTATCGTATTTAATCAAATTATGATTATTTACCTTCCTTTTTTTATTTCAAATGCAGGAAACAGACGTCCTTAATGAAGGGCAGAACCGGAACTTCACTTTGTGTAAAATAGTGGGAAAATTCGATGGGGGGAAGGCTCTATGACTGCCACGTGTACAAAATCTACCTATTTATTAGAATAGGGGATTCATCATCGTTTTTTTTAATATCATTATACTATTATACATTTATACTATACCAATATGAATGATATTTGTCGTAATAAATTTAATATATTAATAATTTATTAAAATAACGTAAGTCATTGTTATTAACTATAAAATAAACATTGTCGGTTAATATACAAACTAATTATTATTTTTAAACCGTATTACTAGAACTTTTATAAGATAAGATATGTTTAAAACTTATATAAATAAAATAAAATTATATGAATGATATTTGTGCAATTAATTTATATCTTAATAAATGAAAAGTCATTAGTAAAAATCATTTAGTTAAAACCTATTGAATTATCTAATATTCATAACTTATACTATATTAATTTAAGTATTTACTAATTATAAGATATAAGTTAAAAAAACAATATTTTTTTACTCATCTTGTAAAGTTTTCACATAATGTCCAATATTTTAATATAAATAAAACATAGTAGTATAATATTTACAAATATAAATATAAATATATAATTAAGTTACAATTAAATGGAAGTCTCATGACTTACATGAAAATTAACATTTGCTTAACATAATGGTGTTCATGTCACTCAATAATAGTGTGAATAGTTCATACATATAAATGTTCAAAGGTTGTTAGTTCTAAAAGAACTCCTGAAACATTGACGGTGTTCACGTCTTTCTTGCATTGCCTAATTTCTTTATATGTTCCTACGAATGAAAAAAAATGAAAACATAAAAAAAAAATTAGCCTAATACTCATCGTGACTCAATACATTAAGTCCAACTATTTTGTAGGGGATTAAAAAAGATAACAAACAACATTTTGAAAATATATCATCATCATACATTTCTATTACAATTCATATATTCTAAGAAACTCGGTAAATTGGACAATGCACAAAAATAAAGATCATAATTGTGCCAATAAAATAATAATAATAATAATATCAATACAATTGTAGAAAAATCTGGTAGAAAACTTAAAAATAATTGTATATATCTCACATGCATCTAGACATCATATCTCTTCATATGATTTATCAACCTTTAATCTACCACACAACCACCTATAATTCTCAAAACTCTACCGATATGACCTAAATATATATTTATATATTAATATTAAACAGTTAGAATAATTAGTATTATTAACTATCATAAGTTAGAATATTAATTATGTGAAAGTGAATAATTATTTGGTTTCAAATGAATATGGTGCAAGGATATAACATATCTTGAAACATATTCATTTAAATGATCTAATTTATAACAATTATATATATATATATATATATATATATATAGAGAGAGAGAGAGAGAGAGCGTTAGGTTCAAATGTTTTTTACAGCTATTGTGTTCCTAAATGCACAATCAGAAATTAGCAAATAATTAAATAATTAAGTAAATCAAAAAGGGTATTTCTGGTTTTTTGCACTTGTAATTAATGAGATCATTTAAATCCCTGCAATTAAGGAAACAAAATAAATATGTTGACCTAATATCTATTCTTTATAACCATCGCAGACACACCTTTGTATCCCTCATCTTGCCACTGCCATATCTTCTTCTTCCTCCCTCTCCATCGTCAGCTTCGTATTTCATCACCAAAATCGGTCCATAGTTGTCGCCGTACACCAACATCCTAGCCCTGGTATGTTCTTGAACTCAATTTCTAATTTTTAACCCAAGTTCTAGGTCCCAAGGAATTAGGGTTTGAGCTAAACCCTTTAAGAAGTGGTATTAAGGGGTAATGTCAGAAATTTTACCCTTAAAAGGACATTTTCAGGGCTATTGTGAAGAATGAAGCTTGGATCTGAGGTGTAGGGGCTTAATCCATTAAGATAGCCCAAACAGACAGGGTAACTCGGCAAGTCTAGTAAAGGACTCGACGAGTTGAAGTCGGTTTGTCCCGATTGTATGCCAGGTAGAACTCGACGAGTCTGTGAAGGGACTTGACGAGTTGACTCGGTTGACCACGAGTCTGAGTAGTACAGGAACTCGTCGAATTGGGAGGTAACTCGACGAGTTGGGTTGACTAGGAGTTGACCTTGACTTTGACTTTGACCAGGACGTTGACTTTGACCAGGGGTAAAATGGTCATTTTACCCTAAGAAGAGTTAGCAGATTTTTGATTAACTGTTATTGTGAAATTGATAGTCGGAGAGTCATTGGAGCAGCCGTCAGAGATTCCTCACACGAGATTTCACAGCTAGCATTCGAGGTGAGTTTCCTCCGGTAGGAACGGGTCTAAGGCACCAAGGTCGGCTCGTTTAGCTAGTAGTAGTTCCGGACTATGGTCTAATGTCGGGCGGGGACCGATGTAGGTTTATATGCTTTTTCCGTATTTCGATCCGATGTCGAGGCGGTCCCGAGGAATGCTTGTATGCTTGATGTCTTTGTGATTCTTACATGTGTTTGTATTGTATGTTTATGGACTTCGGTCCGATGTCGGGGCGGTCCCGAGGAATGCTAGTATGTTACCGGATTACGGTCCGATACCGGGCGGGGCCCGAGGAATGTTTAAGTGTTAATGATATATGCTTAGGGTTATGTGTATTATTTGATTATGCTCACATGTATTCCGAGATCTGCTCGATGCTGGGCAGGGCCCGACACCTGGAAAGCCGATGCCGAGCCCGACTCGATGTAGGAGGGGCGGGCCCAAGATATGTTATGTGATATGTGTATGGTATGTGGTAGTTGGGGAGACTCACTAATCTTCGTGCTTACAGTTTTCAGTTTTGGTTTCAGGTACTTCTGCTAGTAAGGGGAAGAGTTCGGGATGACTGCATGGCACACACCATTGTTTTTAGCCTAGGAGGATTCACTCTGATTTATGATATGTGGTTTTGATACATTGACAAATTTGACGATGTTTTGAGATACGTGACTTATGGTTTTATTATGATATGGATGGATTATGGTTTTTCATAAATGATTTAAAAGGAAATTTTTGGTCTATATTTTTGAGATGTTTCAAGTTGGTATCAGAGCCTTGGTTTGAGGGATTCGAGCACACTCTCAGGTGTGTCTGAACTCAAACTAAGGACATGGTATGAAAATTTTCAAAATCATTTTTACAAAAAGAATTTTGAAAAGAGAAAAGAACTTTGAAAATAGAAAAAGGGTGTGGTACATGCAATCAGCCGAGCTCAAGTAAGTACTCCCAAATTACCCATACAAGTTTATGTTATGATATGTTTATGAGAACTGCATGCTTGTTTAGGACTAAGGATCTAGGAAGGATGCCTTATGTGCCTATTATATGTGTATCAGCTTTATGAGAATTCCATGCTAATTTAGGACTAAGGATCTAGGAAGGATGCCTTATGTGCCTGTTATATGTATCTCATCTTTATGAACCGCATGCTAGTACATATTAGTCAGTGATGGCCTGAATGAGATATGTTTGATTACGTGTACTCAATGCTCGAATGATGCTTGCTTTGTGCTTTTAGGAGTTCTAGTTATCTTTTACTAACTAGTAAATGAATATGTTAAGTTACATATTGCAAGGATTAAATAATTTCAGAAGGTTAGGTCTAGCTCTATTGTGCAGCTCTTGTTTGAGTCCAACCGTTGTAGGGTAGGATCTCTCATTCGAAGAATTATCTAGTCTTAGTGATATGTAAATAGTATTCACGAGCTAGTTAGGGGGAGATAGCAGGGGCTTCTTATGCAGCTGATAGCGGAAAGTGGGTTGGTGATTACCTTAGGGAAATCCTAGGATGAGTTTAGCATGAGATCAGCAGTAGTAGTAGAAGGGACTTGGTGGAGTCGAGGCAATTCTTGAGGAAAGTACGGATAGATGTGGAAGGTAGTATGTGCCCGTACTACTGAAAGCAGAGGATCTGTACTCGAATAGAGGAAGGCTAAGATGAACCCACGAAACTTGTAGTATGTAAGATCCCTCGAGTTATGATAAGTATACTGATGTTTGTTATGGTGTATTTTCAGTATGGTGACGCTACGCACTAGGCCAGTTGGCACTTCAGGCACTGGTGAGGGATCAGGTTCGGGATCTGGAGCCGGTCAGATGGATGAGCAGACGAGGGAGTTTATTTCGTCTGAGATCACGCGCAACATTTTAGAGCAGGGTCATGTGATCTTTGGTTCGGTCAATGAGGGTATTTTGGAGCTTCTGGATGAGAAGCTGAGCGCTTTCCGCACTGAGGTGGCGGCCATGATGGGGTCGCGCACACTGACTATCCGGGAGTTCAGGGCTTGTGGAGCTGCCTACTATCATGGGGCTCAGGACCCCATTACTAGCAGCATATGGTTGGCTGATGTGGCCAACGCATTCTGTACGAGCAGATGTCCTGAGGGGGACAAGGTCCGCCTTACATCCTGTCTTCTGAAGGACATGGCACGAGATTGGTGGGAGGAGGTCGGACGAGCCATTAGGGATGATACAGTTTTAGATGCTATGACTAGGAGTGATTTTTTGGGCAAGGTTCAGGGCCGAGTTTGCACTTGTGATTGAGGTGCAACAGTTAGCGAGGGAGTTACAGGATCTTGAGCAGACGATAGAGACTGTGGCGGAGATCACCGCCAAGTTTAGGGAGAGGACCCATGTCGTTCCGCAGTATGTGGCGGACGAGGAGATGAAAAAGGCCTGATATCATGAGATGTTGCGGAGTGATATCCGCCAGTTTGTGAGCCGCTCCAGCTGCAAGACGCTGGAGGACATGATTGATAGGGCTCAAGAGAGGGAGTTAGATTTGGAGATGGGGAGCAAGAGGAAACCGGATGGGGTTCAGGAAGGTAGTGCGGGCAAGAAGCCTAAGGTATCAGATCACGGATCGGGGAGCCAGCAGGGCCGCAGCCAGTGTGGCAAGTGCGACAAGATGCACGAGGGGGCGTGCAGGGCGGGGAGTTCAGGCAGCTTCAAGTGCGGCCGAACTGGTCATATGAGTAGGAATTGTACAGCTACCACCACCGCCACAGCAGTTTCAGATCTGATTTGCTTCCAGTGCAATCAGAGGGGCCACAAGAAGGCCCAGTGTCCGAGTCTGGCAGCAGTAGGACAGGTGGCGGCACCCCCTCCTGCCACGTTGAGGATTATAGATGGCCGTCAGGGCCAGGCAGAGGTGCCTACGGTGAGGAGCAGGGCTTTCCAGCTTACTGCAGAGGAGGCACGTGCGGCTCCCGATGTTGTGTCGCTCGCGCTCAGCAAGCAATTCGTAGGAGCTCCGGGGGAGCTGGATTGCCCACTTGATGTGGAGATAGCAAATGACAGGACCGTTAGGGTTGCGAGGGTTCACAGGGGTTGTACAAATGGGTTTTAGTATACTACAACATCCTATGGTGCACATACAACCCTATAAACCTTGGATATATGTTTTCTCTATTATACATGCAAATATTCAATGTTCCAAGGTTTCATCCTAACTAGCATAATATGAAGTATATGTTGGATAAGGTGTCTAAGTCCATAACTATATTTAGTATGTACTTGACCCGACTTGGCATGGTCCATTTGGGTTGCATCTTCATCTCAACTGTTGGATAGACAAAATGAGAAAAAGGACACTTACGATTTGTTAATATATTATAAGTTCTAATATATTAATATGAAATCACATTATTTAATTAGTATTGATCAATAATTAATTTGGAATTAATTTTGTGATCAAAAGGAGACTAATTAAATATATGGGAATTGATTTGTAAATCATTCATTCTTATGTAGTGAGCTTATGGTTTATGATTCACTAGATTGGGCTAGGACCCATTGGGTGCTCCATGGATGCTCCATGGAGGTTATAACCCATGGATCATGGAGGAAATGAAAAGCCATGCACATCAGGGTTTACATGGTGTAACCCTACATGTGGCACACTATATAAAGAGCTCCATAGCTAGCAAAATCGGCCACTATTACAAGACCAGGAGGGCTAGCCGATTTTGTGATCAAAGTGTTCTTCTCTCAAGTTACTCCAAGAGTTGCGGTGTTGTGTGAAACATTTGAGGCATCACATTTGAGGTGATATGCTCACAAAGTCTTAAGGAATCCAAGAAACTACAAAGGTATGTCATTCTACTAGTTTTTTATATTACAAGTACCTCATGCCATGCTAGTTAAGATGTAAACCTTGGAAAATTCTTATTTGCATGAATATTAGAGAAAACATAGATCCAAGGTTTCTAGGGTTGCATGTACACCTTAGGAGTGTTAGAATGCTCAAAACCCATCAGTATATACAATACAAGAATCTAGTAGAATGACATACCTCTTTGTTGTAGCTTGATTCCATGGAGCTTAAGAGCCTAGTGCCCCAAATGTGACACCTCAAATGGTTCACACAACACCACCAACAATTTGTAATAACTTGAGAGAAAAGTTCTTATGCTCAAAATCGGTTATCCCTCTCATGACAATCCTTAGTGCCGATTTCTTAAGCTATGGGGTCTTTATATGTTGTGGCTATTAGGGTTACACCATGTAACTCATGACTTTCCATATTCCTCATGATCCATGGGTTTTAACCTCCATGGAGTATCCATGGGTTACCCCATGGGTTTAGCCCAACATGAAAAACTATGGATCATAAGCCCACATATATAAGAATGAATGATTTACATAATCAATCCCCATATATTTAGTTAGTCTCTTTTGATCACATAATTAATTCCAAATT